CATGCAACTAGAGTTCAGTTCGGCTTACCATCCAGAGACTGACGGACAGATCGAGCGGACTATTCAGACATTGGAGGACATGCTTCGAGCTTTGGTTGTTGACAGAGGTGCTAAGTGGGAGTCGTTATTGCCATTGGTTGAATTCGCCTACAACAACAGTTATCATGCTTCTATTCAGATGGCTCCTTACAAAGCACTTTACGATCGTAAGTATTGTTCCCCTCTTTATTGGGACGATGTCAGTGAACATCGAGTACTCGGTCCGAAGATGATCTAGGAAACAGCAGAACAGGTCGAGTTGATTAGACAAAGACTTAAGACAACTCAGAGTCGGCAGAAATCATCAGCCGATCAGCATCGACGAGATATCCAGTTTGAGGTTGGGGAGCGAGCCTTCCTTAGAGTTCGTCCATTCCGAGAGATCGTTCGATTTAGAAAGAGAGGAAAGTTACATCCTTGATTTATTGGCCCGTTCGAAGTTCTCGAGCGAGTGGGCGAAGTTGCTTATCGATTAGCCTTACCTCCCAAGTTATCCAATGTTCATAATGTTTTCCATGTATCCATGTTACCCAAGTACGTGTGCGATCCAGATCATGTCATTCAGCATACCGATATTTATATTCAGCCCGATTTGTCTTATGAGGAGAGACCGGTAGCTGTACTGGACCGACAGGTTCGTCGGCTCCAGAAACGTGATGTTCCTCTCGTTTGTATCCAGTGGGATCGCCACGGTGCCACTTGGGAGCAGGAGGCTGATATTCGCGCTCGTTTTCCTGATTTCAAATTTTGATGTATATATATTTTCTTATGTTATATGTATATATGTTCAGTTTTATATTTCCGAGGACGGAAATATTTTAAGGAGGGCAGATTGTAATAGCCCATTATGTTATTAATGTAAATTACGTGGTTAGCTCCGAAATATTTATTTTATCAAGCATTATCATTCGGGACTAATTATTCCAGTCAAGAACGTTCGAATTAATTTTCAAAGTCATGTTTATGCTCGGAATAATTTCTAAGTAATTAATTTCATGTATTATAAGTTAATCCATGTTCAATCGCTCGATAAAAATATTACAGAGCCTAATCGCCTTGATCGTGCGCTAATCGCCCTATTAAGCGGCGTAGTCGGCAAGTAAATGTCTTGCATTGCCGAGAGATCATGTGCATTATGCACGTCCTTATCATGCTAAGCGGCCATGTTTAGTAGCACGATTAAGGTAGGCTTAGCACACCCTTAGGCCTTAAGCGTAGTTAATGGCCGTAAGTTTGGAGCAAAAGTTTCATGTGCTTTCATCATTGCACTTAATACATGTGGAGGCTCCATAGCTAATGACTAAGCAAGTAAATAGATGACTAAGCAAGTGAGGACACTTAGCCATCCCCATCGCACGGCAAGTGGCGTGCGCCGATTGGCCACGCCTTGCCTTCATCTTTTCACCCAAATTTACCATCTTTTATCTTCTATAAATCAGGATGTTGGGTGAAAAATATAGCTTAACACTTAAGCTATATACTAAGCAAAGTTAAGAGAGTTAAGCCATTTTCTTCGGATGCACGCGCTAGCGAGCAAAGACCGAGTGATCACGGAAGTTTGGCAATATTTACCGAACAATTGAGGAGGTAATCTTGTCTTGATCCTCTTTCTAAGTTAATATGATCATGTTCAGCCCTCATCATGTTGCTAAGTTCATGAATCGGCCATAGTAGCTCTCGGGCGTACCATTTAAGCTATGTCAAGCCATGTCCATTTTGAATCGTTAACCCCCGAGCAATTTATGAAAATTCGGTTTTTATATGTCATGTTACGTTCAATTAAGTGGCAACTGTCGAGGGTAGTTACCGGACGACTGAGAGGATCGGTCGATGTGGTAGGCTGCGCATGAAGCGCACGCCACGACCGGTTTATGTACTATCGGGTCATTTAAATCATGTTCATAATCTCTCGCCCAATATAGTTATTCGAAGTTCATCTACGTAATCATGTTCGGAGGAAGTCGCCGGACGACCAACAAAGGTCGGCCGTAGTTGCTCTGACGCACATAGCGGCCGCAGCATACCGACAGTCGAGAGTAGTCGGGTGGATGATATGCGTACGCTAGGTCGGGCGTCGCAAGTAGTCTCTACCCACGCACGTTGACAGTCGGCCAGTGCCTAGTGCACGCCGGCACGTTCCCGCGCACGCCAGTGCGTTCAACTATAAGCCAGTCGGCCTTGGGCAGTGCTCGACAGCACGCCCAAGTGTCCAGTACCGTTAGGGTCGCCCGGCAGTGCCCGTGCAGTACCAGCTCGCGTCAGCCAGTGCCAGTCCGCGCGTCCACGTAACCCGTTGCCTATCGCGGTGCTCGGTAGCACCCGACCGTGTCCAGTCGCGCAAGTGTCGGCGCCAACAGTGCCCGGAAGCGCCAGTCGTCATGTTATACGTCCAGTCGACCGTCGATCGTGCCAGTCGCACTCGATGGCCAATCCATAATCGCGCGTCGTGCCAGTCGCACGCTAACGCTCGAAGTCACGTCTAATCGGCCAGGCTAACGCCTGTGGTGCCCAGCAGCGCCGATGGCCGTTCCATGTGCGGGCGATACACCAGTTGCGCCGCCAGCGTTCAAGTCAGGACTAGCCGCACGCCAGCGTGCCTTGATCATACCCAGCGTTGTCCGGCCAAGCCGACAGCAGTCGTGCACGCACGTCAGTACACGCCACTGACCATGCCTGGGCGCCAGCAGGTCCGGCGTGGGACCGAGCCGGTTGGCCAAGCCAAGGGCCGACCGCCCGGCCACAGCGGCCCGGCGGTCCGGCCAGCCAACGAATCGGTCGATTCAGACCGGATTACCTCATGGTTTAATGTTTAATGTTCCGGTTCATGTTTATGTCCAATTTTCAGTTAAATTCTGGGTCCGGTCAAGTTCAGTAAATTCATGTCAGTACATTTCCTTTTAAACCGGTTTTGATTATACTGGTTAAATTCAAAAGCAATGTAAAGTCAAGTCGAGCATCTTAACATATTAAACAGCTATTTTAATCAGTCTGAGCATAGTACTTAGTATTTGTTTATATTATGTTACAGTTTGAATAGTTCACGATTATCAGCACTTCATAATACAGTTTGAACAGTTCACGATTATCAACACTTCCAGTTTCATATCGACGATTCAGGTGGGGACTCAGACTGGGTATTACATTGATTATAATTACGGTACCATGTTTGAGGTATGTATCATGTTATGTTATGTATCCGCTTGGAAAGGTCGTCGGTCCATTCTGGGTTCTAGTGGCCTAGTCTGCGCACTAGAGTGTGCACATGGTGTCCGGCAATTTATGCTGGCAGATGAGGTAACGGTTATATGATGGTAATGGTTTACCGGTTCATGTTGATGGTTATGTATTTGCCAAGATCATGATATTGTTATTATTTTCACTGTTTACTTTAGTATGAGTTCCTACGGAGCACAGTGGATTTAGTGCTCATGCCCCATGTTTATTTATGTTTTTCAGGTCACAGGGTCGGACCGGAGGAGTGAGCTGACGGGCGATTCAGGATCATGTTTATATAGTTTGAATTTGGCATAGCAGTGCTGTTACTATCTTCCGTAGTGGAGTTAAATATTTTGCCACGCTACGATTTCCGCTGACTTTTACTGTAATGGTTTACCGATTCATGTTGATGGTTATGTATATGCCAAGATCATGATATTGTTAGTCGGATTGTTTATATTATGATAATCCGTTTTTTCTTAAAAACTAAAATTAACAGATTTCAAAGTAAAGTTATAGTTATGGTAGCACTCCGAAGCACGATTTCGCAACCTAATCAGTATATTTTGCAAAAATTTAACTCTGATATTTATGACATAGCGGAGTCTTAAAGTTAAAATAAGGCTATGAAAAAGGCTTTGGGAGAATAAGCGGAATTAGTTAAAATTATAATGGCTCAGAGATTAAAAGTGGAATTAGTTTACATGATTCGTAATTAAGGAAAAGCTACTTTAACAGGAGGATAGACGTGTGTTTAAGCCTTGAAAATTTTCAGATACAACTAGGATGATGCCCAGAACGGGCATTCTTGTCATCGTCCAGGACCTTTTGTGCAAATTAACAAGAACAATGAGCCCATTTCATGGTAAATATGTGAAATATATTATTCAATTAATGAAAGGTGTTGCAAAATATATTATATACTACTCCGCAGACAGAAACCTCATTAGGTGACATTTATTAGATGGATTCTGAAACAACATAAGGATGAAATAAAAGAAGATGTAAACTATGAGGCTAACAATATAAATGTTATTTCTTAAATTAATATCAAAGGGTGTATTCTTTGATCCTGGGACATTTACTTTAGTCGACAGCTAAAGGACGCAAAACATCAACAAAAAGGAACGAGATTGCGTTGTACTATACAGATAAGAAGAGTTTAAAAGCCTGAAGGGGTCGGCTTTACATCAAAAATAGCACAGAGGAATTCCCAGTATTTGACGAGCATGTGATCAACTGGTCTCACTCCTTCCCAATTCCCAGTACAGAATATTGCATGAGCATCAGCTGCATACCTGTGACCAACCAACAATTTCAGGATACATTGCGATCTCGGTACCCAAACTAAAGTTAATTTCAGGGGCAATACCCCCACACTATCTCATATATCAATTTGAGTACCCTAACTATGAAACAACTAACGAATTTCATACCCGCCATTAGTTGCCCGTTAAAACACTAATCAAACAAGATTGAACTAAAAGAATGTGTAATGCTATTTTAAAACAATAACATGTAAGATAAACTCTGATTCAGTGACTCAAAACACAAACTTAATTGGATAAAAAAAAAAAAAAAGAAAAAACTTCTGCCACCAAGGAAGAATCAGAAATAAGTGCATTTGAAGTGATCCTAGTGTCACCTTGTTCATGTGGAGCCATTCCAAACATGCAAAAGCTTGAGTTACAAATTATTGAAGCACCTCTTTGAAACTTATATATTACACAATACACTGAACTTACTTGCCAACGCCTGTAAGCTCAGTTACATGAGTCCAGCTCTCATTCAGATACTCATGAGAGAATTGCTGAATCCCTAGTGCTCTCTTCTTGTACAAACCCAAGCTGCGTGTTACTTCCTCGATGTCCTCCGTGGGAACCTTAACGGCTGTCTTGGCATTTGGACACAAATGAAAGAAGTCTGATAATACTTTCCTAGCCTACACGCAATCCACCAACGTAAGAATAATTACCAGCAAAACATTTTCTTTTTTCTTTCAAGAGAAATGATAAAAGTGGGAGGAGAACAGGGTGCAAACAGATCTTTTTAAACCAATTTAGTTGATGAAGATAGCCTCTTGAACAGTTAATGGACGCATCAGCCATTTGGAGCTTATTATTTTAATGGACATACCCTGAATTCTTTCAGGTCACACATGGCAACAATTTCTGATTTTTAATGCAATAAATTGTCTCGTCGTCTAATGGGATTTCGGATACTTTCTCATAATGACACACATCTCAGTGAAGAATCAAAACGAAGCTCAAGTCTCGAACAAATAGGACTAACCTGTAGACCAGTAGTTCGGTTTAGAAGCATGCATATAACTAAAACTCTCCAAGGATCAAAGAAATGGTCTTCCTGGAGAAGACTGAAAGGAGAGCGAGGAGGGACCCAATTGTGATATGGAGTTTTTCTTTCATAGGCTTGGTGTTTCTTCTGGGCAGCCGTGAGAAGAGGTGTTCTGTTCACTGATTGTTGTGTGCTGCTGCAAAAGTAAGGAGAAACAATCCTTGCTTGCACCTTCTTCACCTTCTTCTTTGGTTTGATTTTAAAATCTTTCACTCTCACCTTTGAGAAATAAGGTGAAACAATTACCAAATTTTCAGTGTCTTCCCTTTTCACATTCCTACCATATCTACTCTTCTCCATCATGATATTGATGCCCTCTTCTTCTTTTTTGCATTCCATCTTCTGATAACCTCTATATGTGAAGTGGGAAAAAAGATCCCGCTTCACATTATCAGACATAATTCCGGCGTGTTCAGCCACATTTTCAGACATAATTCCGGCGTATTCACCAACATTTTCAGACATAATTCCGGCGTATTCACACGACGATTTCTCTTCAGACACAATTCCAGTATATTCTCCCAATTTACTTTTCTTAAAGTAAGGAGAAACAATAATTTCTTTATCCTTGCTCAAGACCTCATCAACCTCATCGCCATCTCCTACTGTGTCACACACACCAGCTTCAACTCCAGGATTCGACCGCAAGAGCTTAATTTCACTCTCTCCACAGTAATTTCTGCTGCGCTCATATTTCTTCACAGTATTATTATCATCTTCATTTTCCTCGCACACCTCTCCTTCCCTTCCCATTCTTTCCAGCGGTAATGGCCTAAGGCTCTAGTGGTTTCTTGACTTCGCCAAATAATTGCTCATCTCGACAAGGTTCGATGGTGCTACTCATCGCACCCCAATTATTGAAATTGAAAAAGTGTTTATACCAAAACGAGGAAACCCTATCAAGTACCAAGAAATCAATATATTACCCTATTTTTATAAGTGAACTAGCACAGAGCGCGATGCACATAGTGCACAATTTTAAGGTCATATATCCAGCCTTATAATTATATAAATGAATAAAAAAGATGTACATGATATATATAGTACGTGACCTATGCGAGACATGGGATATATTCATTTGAGGAGTATTATAATTTAATATGCAATATTCAATAAAAGTTGTACAATATACAGGAAAATTGTACAATAAAATAGTATTGAAAAAAGAAACAATCATATATTATGAAAGACCTCCTTGTACACAACATTATGAGTTTGATTACCGGGTAACTCCTCATTCTCACAAACTAATATTTTCAACCCCCGTCTATTAGTCACACGCGAAACAACAACATATAATTGACCATGACTAAAGACAGGCTTCTTTAGAAAAAGACCAACGTGGGATAAAGACTGTCCCTAACTCTTGTTTATGGTCATGGCATACGAAACCATAAGTGGGAACTGCCGCCGCTGAAACTTAAATGGAACCCTAAGATCAGAAGGAGTAATATTCATTCTAGGAATCAACACTGTGTCACCAGCATGATCACCAGTCAATATCTTGCATTCAAGACAAAAAAACAATATGCTTGGATCATCCATATTTCACATCTTTTAATAAGTGTCGTTTATTTAAGCAAAAAAATAACATGTTAATTAATATATAATTCCACAAACGTCATACTAATATTTATCTGATTTTATAATACATATTTATTCATTGATATAAGAAAAAATAAAATTTTTATTAATTATTGTTCACCATATAATGCTTAATTATTATTTTATTATAAAATTTACAGTCATATAATGTAATTCTTATTATTTATAAAAGTTATAGAAGTAGTCTTCTTTATTTAATGAAATTCAAAATAAAATTTTGAGTATAAATGTTTACAAAATACACACACATGTTTTTTAGAATTCAATTTTCTCATAATAATTATTTTTTCATCCTAAGGCTTTATAGTTTATTTAACATACTATACAATAGAAAAATATTTTACAATAAGTTCATTTTTGAAATATAACAAAAAAAAAAAAAAGTGATAGCTACACTATCATAGTTGACAATAATATACAAATAAATAACATCTCGAAATTTTAAAGAATAACTAATATAATTTTATTATCTAACCATCAATAAAATCATTTAATGATGTGATCATTATCTTTTAAATAATAAATAATATTAATTTGTTAAAAAAATATTAGTGTTATATAATTAAATAAAGGTTAAAAAATATTACTCGATAAATATTAATTATAATGGATATCAGTACAATCATTGCATAAATTATTTAAGGAAAAAATCTTTAAGATCATATTTGGATAGTAAATGTAAATATGGAAGCATTTAATGCATATTGTAAAAATTTTCCAAATAAAGTATGCATTAAATGTGTGTTGACTTTTCTTGCTATTGTTTTTGGTAAATAGGTTGACTTTTAATATATATATATAGATTGCACTTCACCACTGCTTATTACTACGCACCGCTCCCTTAGACCATTTTGCCCTTCTTATTTTTTTAAAAATTTTAAAAAATAGTAAAATCCTCTTGACCAGGTGATTCTGGAGAAAAAATATCTTCGAGCGAGGTACATTTTTCGGCCGTCCGCCAGAAATTGCGATCGGGCATGGTGTTGTCCGACCGGCGATTGCGCGCATGCACGGTGTTGTCCGGCCGGTATTTTCAGACATGCCCATGCGCGCCCGCCTTTAGAGGCCGGACGCGACCACGCGCGTCCTAAAAGACCGGTCGGACTGCCCCAATGCTGTCCGCAATCACTGGACAGACAACACCTTGTCCGTTCGGTTTGGCCGGCCAGACAACACCTTTTTTTAAGGGTGACTTCTTTTAAAATCCTCAAACCTCTTTTCAACTTCCTTCTCACTCCCTACCACTTTTTAATTTCTTCCCAACTCCCTACCCCCTTAATAAACATCCACTTAAATCTCTCCTATTAAAATAAATAAATAAATACTTTATTACATCATCCCACTAACATACTCTATTTCTTATTAATTTATTATTTTTTATTATACCAACTATTACACAAATATTATTAGTTTAATATAATTGACTTCTTCTCCACTCCACTTTTTCCCCTCCCCTCCCCTCCCGTCACCCCGTTTTTCTCTTCTCCCATTTTCCGCTCCCCGTTCCCATCACCCCATTTTATCCGGCCACCTTTTTTTTTTTTCGCAGTTGTAACTCACCGGCTAAAATTGTATCCGGAGAGAACAAGTCCGGCGGCAACAAACCGGGTCAACTAAATGATTCCGACGACAAACTTCTCCCGACGAAAATTGATATTTTTCCGGCAACATTGAGCTTTTTATCCAGCGAAAACTTAAAGTAGTAAGTAATATATGTATTACATGAGGACTTTGGAGTCAAAAAATCATCTTTAATTCATATATTTTTGGTTAATTTGTTAGGGATTGAAGTTTGATTAGAGTTTTCATATTTACCCTAATTTATGTTATTGTTAGGCTATGTTAATTTGCTCTTCATGTATACCAAATTTATGTTATTGTTAGGCTATGTTAGGTGTTATTCACCATAAAACAAAAAAATAAGATTAGAATAATCATAGTACCACTATTTTTGATTTTGGTACCTCTGTTTGTTTATATAGTACCACGTTTCTAACTGTTTGGTACCATATCTAATGGGAAAAATGTGAATTTGTTTTGTTTTATTCAATTTTTTTTAGAAACATGAAAGAAGCACAAAGTGATATATTACGGAGTTGTACCTACAAAAGTGAATTGTATGTATCCTCTATGAGCCTTGGATCAATGTCTGACGAAGTGTACACGCTCATTGGTAAGAGGTGACCGAATTTTAGTTGGGAAATCGTCATGTTAAACTATATTGCGCCGAAGGAAAAAAGAGAGTTTATTTGTCCGATGATGAGGATGTGAGAAACATGATTCGGCTACATCTTTGTTGGAAAATAAATATTGTAGATATAGTTGCCATTGAAACAAATGAAAGCCGGCCATTGGAAGAAATGAAAGACGGGATGATGGACCGATGAACATGAGCCGATAATGTTGCTTTTCTGTTATTAATGAATTTACTATTGAAATATGGTGTATTTGTATCTTCATTAATTTTTTAACATGAACACAGGGAAAACGTACCTTCTTTTGATTCCTCGGATGGAGAATCAGAGCTGTTAATGCAAGATAAATCAATCGATTCTTAGAGATATTGCATCAAAGGAGAGGGACAGATACTTGGGGGCGGCGGCGATGAATTCTGAAAGAGTGTTAAAAACTACACAATTGCAAATAGGCGCTCTTTTAAGTATCGGAAAAATGATCAGCAGAAGGTGATTGTTTGTTGTAGCGTTGAGGGTTGTGATTGAAAATGGTACTAAATACCTAGTTTGTCTTGGAATCATCGCGGGTCACGACAGTAAGTAGCGGGTCGCGACTCGCGGGACACAGTCGCGAGTCTATGAAGCAGGTTTTCTGGTATTATGTAATAATGTCGCGAGTCGCGAGATTTCTTTATTTTTTTCTTTTGGAAATGTTGAGAGAAATTGAAATAATACATTTTTGCGTAACAAAACCTGGTTCCAATCCATCAATAAATGGTACCACTCAGAGGAAAATATGGTACTATTGTTTATTCGAAGTGGTACTACATTAGCAATTGTGATTTTTTTTATCCTTCATGTCTATCATGACACGTGGATCGTTCACGTGTGATTTGGATAGAAAGTAACGGAATTTAAAACATATAGATGTAATTTGGAGTAGTTAGTATTGATGATTCTAAGAGATAAAGTGAGTAATTCAAGGAGATGTTGTGCATTAATAGTATTTTCTCACTAGTGTGTGGAGTTGATGACCATTTTACGATCAAATTCGACTAAAAACATTCCAAATCACGTATGAACTAATGTGATAGTGAACTTGGGTCATATAAACATCATTCGAGACTGGTGTTTTAATGTGTCCATGACATTTGGTACTGAATACCTAATAAGTGGTACTACTACAATACAAACGTGGTACTACGCTTCGATAAGTGTGGCACTTGTTTTTGGAAATATTGAGAGAAATTGAAATAATACATTTTTGCGTAACAATACCTAGTACTAATCCATCAAAAAGTGGTACCATTCAGAGGAAATGCGGTACTATTGTTCATTCGAAGTGGTACTACATTAGCAATTGTGATTTTTTTTTATCCTTCATGTCTATCATGACACGTGGATCGTTCACGTGTGATTTGGATGGAAAATAACAGAATTTAAAACATATAGATGTAATTTGGGGTAGTTAGTATTGATGATTCTAAGAGATAAAGTGAGTAATTCAAGGAGATGTTGTGCATTAATAGTATTTTCTCACTAGTGTATGGAGTAGATGACTATTTTACGATCAAATTCGACTAAAAACATTCCAAATCACGTATGAACTAATGTGATAGTGAACTTGGGTCATATAAACATCATTCGAGACCGAAATTCGGTATTTTAATGTTCCATAACATGTGGTACTGATTACATAATAATTGGTACTACTACAATACAAATGTGGTACTACGCTTCGATAAGTGTGGCACTTGTTTTTAGAAATATTGAGAGAAATTGAAATAATACATTTTTGCGTAACAAAACCTGGTACTAATCCATCAAAAAGTGGTACCATTCAGAGGAAATGCGGTACTATTGTTCATTCGAAGTGGTACTACATTAGTAATTGTGATTTTTTTATCCTTCATGTCTATCATGACACGTGGATCGTTCACGTGTGATTTGGATGAAAAATAATGGAATTTAAAACATATAGTTGTAATTTGGAGTAGTTAGTATTGATGATTCTAAGACATGAAGTGAGTAATGCAAGGAGATGTTGTGCATTAGTAGTATTTTCTCACTAGTGTGTCGAGTTGATGACCATTTTACAATCAAGCTTGACTAAAAACATTCCATATCACGTATGAACTAATGTGATAGTGAACTTGGGTCATATAAACATCATTCGAGACCGAAATTCGGCGTTTTAATGTGTTCATAACATGTGGTACTGAATACCTAATAAGAGGTACTACTACAATACAAACGTGGTACTACGCTTCGATAGGTATAGTAGTTGTTTTTGTAAATGTTGAGAGAAATTGAAATAATACATTTCTGCGTAACAAAACCTGGTATCAATCCATCACAAAGTGGTACCAGTCAGAGGAAAACGCGGTACTATTGTTCATTCGAAGTGGTACTACATTAGTAATTGTGATTTTTTTTTATCCTTCATGTCTATCATGACACGTGGATCGTTCACGTGTGATTTGGATGGAAAATAATATAATTTAAAACATATAGTTGTAATTTGGAGTAGTTAGTATTGATGATTCTAAGACATGAAGTGAGTAATTCAAGGAGATGTTGTGCATTAGTAGTATTTTCTCTCTAGTGAGTCGAGTTGATGAACCTTTTACGATCAAATTCGACTAAGAACATTCCAAATCACGTATGAACTAATGTGATACTGAACTTGGTCATATAAACATCATTCAAGACTGAAATTTGGCGTTTTAATGTGTCCATGACATTTGGTACTGAATACCTAATAAGTGGTACTACTACAATACAAACGTGGTACTACGCTTCGATATGTGTGGTACTTGTTATTGGAAATGTTGAGAGAAATTGAAATAATACATTTTTGCGTAACAAAACCTGGTACTATTCCATCAAAACGTGGTACCAGTCAGAGGAAAAGGCGGTACAATTGTCCATTCGAAGTGGTACTACATTCTTAATTGTGAATTTTTTTATCCTTCATGTCTATCATGACACGTGGATCGTTTACGTGTGATTTAGATGAAAACTAATACGATGTCCAATCTTTGGTCTGCCCAAACAATGTTAGGCTAACTCCGCTAGGCAAGAGGACTACTACTGGGATTATTCTATTACTAATTGATGACCTGGCGGGCTACTCTTCTTTCTTCATCAAGGGAAGAAAAGCATACCACGTCCCACCAAATAGATGATTGGCAGTCTTGGTATCCGACGAGAGCCCCTGTGCCTGCCTGTTTTAAAACATATACTTGTAATTTAGAGTAGGTAATATTGGTGATTCTAAGAGATGAAGTGAGTAATTCAAGGAGATGTTGTGCATCAATAGTATTTTCTCACTAGTGTGTCGAGTTGATGACCATTTTACGATCAAATTCGACTAAAAACATTCCAAATCACGTATGAACTAATGTGATAGTGAACTTGGGTCATATAAACATCATGTGATACCGAAATTCGATGTTCTTATTGTTAGAGTTGGATACCCGGCGTTCCAATCGGATTGGATGTATTCTACTTGTAAATACTATCTATTGGAATCATACTGTAAATAAGGCATTACTTTATCTTAAGAGTAAGCTTTTATCCTATAATCGCACTTAAGATAAAATACCTAAATCACTTATGGCTATAAGGTATGGTTGCGCATAGAGATGGTGATCATGGAACATACCTTGAAAGTTGTGATTTTAAATACAGTTCCAAGTCGTTGGATGTTTCGAGATGGGATATCGAATAATCCGAAAAAAGACTTGCACATAGTATGTACGCTTGTTGGACAAAGAATGTTGCATTCCATCAACATTAGCGTGGGACGCAAGTACATATATGTGAGTGCTTGTTAGAGAACAAGTTCACTGAACAGGACCGTATGAAAATTCTTAATGAAAGATTTGTCTTGTCGAATAAGTATTTTCATGTTACAATAGTACATGACTAATCCTTAGACTTGAGGCACGATGGTAACTTTGTGCATATTGTGTTCTACTTTGATTTATCCTTTTGGTTGCTAGCACAATCGTATAAAGGGATATTTTGGGTATTACATTAATATGTATGGAAGTTTGTCAGTGGCCAACAAAGGATTCAACACTTATGAAGATAAATGAATTTCCTATGTGTTTCATAGTTGGTAATTCAAAGTCCTTGGCCAAGGAAGGATGAATAAAGATTCATACACGAATTACTAAACTTGAAATGGAATCATAGTTATTAAATCAATTTGAGTTTCGACAATATCATGCTCAAGATTTAATCGGGAAATTGGATGTCGAAAGGATTTTACATGTATGGACTTGTAATCGAAATAGGTTTACTCGCTATTCACGTAATACTAGATTCATGCTACTTGCTAGGTGTTCCCATGATATGTGGGTTCTTGAATTAAGGGGTTAATTCAAGAATAAGAGTTAATACGATTAACTCAAATTACAAAGAGTTGTAAACCCACTACTAGTATTAATTGTGAACCTAAAAGGTCACACCAATGTTTGTATGAAGACCAATATTAGTATTTCTAAAGAGTTAGAATTAATTGACAAAATCTAATTTTGATTAGATGTCAATTAAAGAAACATATTAAATTAATCAATTGGATTGATTAATTATATTTTGGATATTAATTTAGTGATTAGTGTAATTACTAAATTAATAGTTGGATTTTAAAATAGGATTTTAAAATTCAAATCCAAATAATAATATGATTATTATATGAGGAGAATATTAATATGATATATATATGTTTACAAATGATTTTAAAAGAGTTTAAAATTATTTGTTTATTATTATTATTATTGATTTTTAATATTGATTAAGAATTAAATAATAATAATAATATAATAATGAGAAAGATAGGATCTTGCACATTATTATATTGTTGTAATAACTTGTAGAAATGATACAAGATATTTTAACTTGTCTTGTGAAAATTATTCAAGTCATAAATTGTTATGGTTGAATTTATTTATCATTTCTTGTAAAAGTTATACAAGACATATATATATTTTATTAATAAAAATTTAGTATAAATATGGGCATGGTTGATGTTCATATTTGCTACAATTTGTGTTAACAATTTTACAAAGTGTTGAGAGCTAAAGAGTTAGTTTTTTCAAGTGTTGTAATATCAAGAAAAGTTCTTGTAATTTTCTCCTCATAATATATATTTCTATACTAAGTTATAAAATCGAGTGAGTTTCTACTAGCGAAGGATCATCTCGGTGTTGGAATACAAGCGGTGGATACTCTTAGAGGGAAGACACGTGGATTCCTAAAGCGAGCAACCCGAAGCGATCGTTGTTCAACCGGGAACCGATTTCCTCAACTACCGTCGTCTTTGAAGGAGTTCAAGACATATT